CTCTCTCTCTCTCTGTTTTTTGAGACAGGGTTTCTCTGTGTAACAGCCATGGCTGTCCTGGAACTCGTTCTGTAGACCAGGCTGGCCTTGAACTCACACAGATCTGCCTTCTTCTGCCTCCTGAGTGCTGGGATTAAAGACATGTGCTACCATGCTTAGCCAAATTTTCTTTCTTTTTTTGAGAGAACGTCTGAAGTAGATAAGGCTGCCCTTGAACTAATGATCTATGATCATCTTGTCTTGACCCTCTAAATTCTAGAATTACATTACACCCAGATTTTTAAAAAATAGAAAAATGATTCTTAATTTTATCAGTAATATCTGATTTCTTATTTTGCATATTCCTTCCTGTTCTATGTGCATGTCCATCTATACTATTATGAACATAGAGTATTTTAAAGTAGTTGTTGCTGGGCCTTCATTTCTCCACATCAAAATTTTAAAGTGTCCACACATTTTTGCCCAGCTATTCTAATGGCCCATGTCTTTATAAAATAGTCCTTGTGTTGAGGTAGCATGTCTTTTATAATCACTCTTCTCTTATAGAACCATTAAGCTTTAATGACTTTTTAGCTACTAGGTTATACTCTGATGTGCATCTTGTATGCATATGTTGCTTCATTTCTGTTGTCCTAAGAGTAGAAGCATAGGCTCAGGGTCCTCTTGACAGCTTTTAAGGTAGCCTGTTTGACTGCTTCTAAGGGTCAATGAGAATAGCTATGGAAAAAAATCACTTGGGCCCAGGGCAATGAATTTCAATTATAATTTATTATTCAGCCATTAAATCCCATCTTAAATTATGATTCCATGATTTTGCCTAAAATTTCTACATTTATTTTAAAATAAGTTCGGAGCAATGCTTATTGAAAATAGTAAGTCACTTGGAAGAAGCTCCAAATCTCCTTGGGGATGCTGGCATGATGGCAGAGGACCAGAAACTATAACCTGGGCCCCAAACAAGCTTGGCTTTGTCTCCCATCCTCTAATTTCTGCTCCTCCTCCTCCTCCTCCTCCTCCTCCTCTTCCTCCTCCTCTTCCTCCTCCTCCTTCTTCCTTCTTCTCCTCCTTCTCCTTCTCCTCCTTCTTCTCCTTCTTGTTCTTTCTTTTTTTCAATTGTTTGTTTTAAGGCAAGTTTTCTCTGTAGCCCAGGCTGGCCTCAAACTCACGATACTACTGTCTCCACCTCCTTTAGCAAATCCTACCAGTGTGTGCCCCACAACTGATCCATCCTCTGATTTCGAAGGAAGGCCCACTTCTTATTCACGGAACTGGAATAGTCTCTGTTCCTTCCCCTCTTCTCTTTATTCCCATGCCACTAAGCCCACATAACTCCTGGGAACCTTTTGTAGTTTTCATGGTCTTTCCATATATATTATTGTTCCTAGTCAAGTGCAACCAGTATCATTTATCCATCCATCAGCATGTGGAATAGATCAGGAGGTGTCAAACTGTGCATTTTAGTTTTGCTGCATGTGAAGACTTAAGCCTGGGTCTTCCAAATGTTCCAGAAGAATGGCTTAGTGAGGTCTTATCGAGTGTCTTGATTCGCAAGCTGGCAGCTGCATTTTAGGAAGCCCAAATCCCACTAGCCCCCATGGTCAGTGTGGCTTCTGATATTTACCTGTCTCGGCAGGAGGTATGCTGGAGGTGCCGACTTTCTCAGGGACAGATGGAGCTGGTGTGGTGAGAGGGAGAAGGGAGGACTGTGCAGGTGACAGGGTGTGGGAAAGGTCAGTGTGGGGCAAAGAGGAAGAGGCAGCGCCAGGCTGAACAGGCATGCCAATGGCAGGACTGGAAGCCAGCGGGGATGCAGGCTGGGGAGATGCAAGGTGATGCTCTTGTGCCAGAGAGGGTGTGCTTGGGGTCACAGAGGCATGATCAAGGGGTTCAGGCAAAGAGAAGTCACTAGTAACGTGGGAAAAAATGGTGGCCTGAGGCACAACTGGCACGGGCTTGCTGGAAGAAGATAACGGTGGGCCATGTGGCTGATAAGCAAGACAGATAATGGGATCCTGCAGTTCGCTAAAGGAAAAAATCAGAGAGAAACATATGAGATGCCAGTACGGTAGAGAGGGATGAGTCCCCACCCCTACTAGCTATCTGGTACCACCAAGTTAACAGGGTTTCACTCTAAAAGATTGGCACTTCACATTCTCTGTGCCTCTGGCACTGGTGTCTGCCCCTGCTTTCTCCTTACTTCCAAGGGAGAGAAATTAGCATTATTCTCCAAACCCCAGTTCTAGTTCATTGATTTATCACTGTTCTAGAGCTCTATGCCATACTATCTTTCACTAAGTTGAGGGGATCTTGTTACATCCTCTCTGTTCCTGGAGGAAAGACATACTAAATTTCCCATAACCCAACTGATTTCATTACACTATACTATAACTTAACCAATTTCATATCATTATAGTCAGGTATAGTGGTCACTAGCACATGGTAAGTGATCAGGAAATATTGGTTGGATAAAAATATGAATCAAGTTGGAGCCAAAGAGATATTTCCAGGCTTGTCAGTCAACTACCTCTCAATGTTGCTTTAGTTCAGTGGTACTCAACCTTGGCTATCCATGAGCTCTATTAGAGAACTTCAAAAAATATATCCATACAGATAGACAGACAGATTATCTTGCAACCTGACAAGATTTAGAGTCAGCTAGGAGACACCCTATGTCTGTGAGAGTGTTTCCAGACAGGTTTAACTGAGGAGAGAAGGCCCACTCGGTATGTGGATATCACCATACCTGGGCTGGGGTTCTGGAGTGAGGAGAAAGAAACAAGGAAGAAAGCAAGGTGAGTGGCAGCTTTCACCTCTCTCAGCTTTTGAGCTTGTGGGTGCGGTGTGAGGAGCCCCTCACACGTGCGCTGCCGTAAGTATCGCTTCTTAAAAAGCAAAACAAATCACTTCTCCCCTTCAATTGCCTCTGTCAAGTACTTTGTTCCAGAAATAAGGAATCTAAGATAGGTAGATAGCGAAAGAGATAGAGGACACTTAGATTTCTGTGGCTACCCTCATGCCTCATTCAGTTGGTATTGAGATAACGTATAAGGAATTTCAGGCACGTATGTTTTCTAAACTCTCAGGTGACTTTCCTGGTCACCAAAGGTTAAGAACTCACCTACTGTCTGCACATGGTCCATCTGTCTTAGAACATATTAAGGAGGGGTAACTACAGCGAACAAATAAAAACCCAGGGATGTCTCTGATAGATCCAGTTTTAGATGGAGACAGAAAACCAATGGAAATAAGTTCTTAGAGCTTCTCTTAGATAAGAGGAGAAAGGATGATTATATTGAGGAGCTGTGCTGGCTAGTCTTATGTCAATTGGACACACAAACTAGAGTTATCTATCTGAAAGAAGAGAACCTCAGTTGAGAAGATGCCTCCATGAAAACAAATGTAAGACATTTTCTTGATTAGTGATTGATGGGGGGGGATCACATTGTGGGTGGTTCCTCCCATGAGCTGCTGGTCCTGGGTTCTATAAGAAGGCAGGCTGAGCAAGCCATGGGGAGCAAGCCAGTAAGCAGCACCCCTCCATGGCCTCTGCATCAGCTCCTGCCTCCAGGTCCCTGTCCTGTTTGAGTTTCTGTCTTGACTTCCTTCAATTATGGACTATGATCTGGAAGTGGAAACCAAATAAACTCTTTCCTCCTCAATTTGATTTTGGTTATGGTGTTTTATCACAGCAATAATAACCCTAACTAAGATAAGAGCATTAGATAAGCATAACTTTAAATAAGTATTAGTGGATTGGGATGTAGTTCAGTTGGTAGTGAGCTTGCTTAGCGGGTATGAAGCACTGGGTTTGATCCCAAGCACTACATAAACTGGTGATCCTGGCTCTTGGGAAGTAGAGACGGGAGTATCTGGAGTTCAAGGTCATTGACTACATAGTGACTGTAAAATTAGTAGGTTTAAGACATGAGGCCCTGTCTCAGAGGGAGCAAGAGAGTGAGACAGAGACAGAGAGATAACAGACACAGAAACAAAGAGAGCCCTCTGGATAATTTACTACATGCCTGTGAAATGCCATTCTCCTTGTCATACTACAGCAACCCATCTGGCCATGTTGTGGAAAGGTGCCTTGCAAAATGTACATGAGATTGTCTTCAGGATATATGGAGCCTGCAGAAGCTAGACGCCCACCACAGGCTCCCATCCTAGGGCTCCACTATAAGGAGCCGGTCTTGGATTCCTGTTGCTCATGCTAGTCCTGACCCTTTAGGCACTGAGTGAAGCACCCAAGTAAACCACAGAGCAGTAGATGCCAAGACTCTTCAATGCTAGTGCCCAGATGCCCCTCCCACACAGCTGGTCTGCAATTTCTGGGACTGAGAACAGGCATGAATGCTTCTTTGAATGTTCTTCTTGGCAGAGGTGTAGCCTACAAGTACTCAAGTGTATTTGCTTTGCATTTAGAACCTGATGAATGCTATGTGTATACAGACCTGAGTCATCATCACCCAAGTCTAAACATAGAGCAGCCCTGGCACCCCAGAAGGATACACTGACACATCAGCATGTTTTCAAAGTGTCCCGGGTGTTTCTACGAATCCTAGGGACCAATATATTTGAAAGACCCAGTGATCATACAATTCTAACTCAGTAGTTCTCACATTTGGCTTCACCTTAGAACCATCTCACTCTGGGGTTTGTAAAAACTCAAAACTTGTGCTATACCAGTCCAATCTCTGAAGGTAGGAGGCAGGACCTCCTACCAATGACTTAGGCCTATGGCCACGGTTGAAAATCATTGCATTGCTCTATTGTCTGTATCCTTAGTCTTTAAAGTGGGAGTCAGGAGCCAGGTGTAGTGGTGCACACCTTTAATCCCAGCACTGGGGACACAGAGATAGGTGGATTTCTATGAGTTTGAGGCTAGCCTGGGCTACACAGTGAGATCCAGACCAGCCAGAGATACATGATGAGACTTTGTTTTAAAAAACAAAACAAAACATCTATGTCAAAGTGGGGTTCAGGGGCCGGCAGCTCTGGCCTCCTCTAGGAGTTTGCTTGAAATTCAGAATCTTAGGCTCTTCCCCAGACTCACTGGGTCACAATCCACATTTCAAAAGATGCACAGGGATTGATGCACATGGGAATGGTTGAGACTGATCAAATTCACTTTCTAATTTACAGAGACTAGTTCATTTCACCTAAGACTTTGAAGGTAGAAAAGTCCCTGCTTTAGAATAGACATGGATGTATGGCTAGAGAATGACAGCAGTAGCCAGGCATAGGCCTAATTCTGCCCTGCTTTCTATGGCCTGCTTCTTCCTGCTAGCTCTCTTAATGGACAGCCTGTAGAGGGTATGGGTGCTGCCTTAAGAGTGATGACCTTTTGCTTCAATTCTGACACCTCTAGACACCCTATCCCCTAAACAGTTCTCAACCTCTAGCTTAATGGAAGATGTTAAGCTTAATAGGGTATGTTTATCTTCAGTCTTTATTGCAAAAATGCTACAGATCTTTAGTGATTTTTAACAGTCCCTTGAGCTCAGTGTTTTAACATATCCCACAATTATGACCCATATTGGGTTGACAGGGTACACTTGGCCTTCTTTTCCCATATGGGAAGCTTCACGTTTTAAATTATGTATGTCTTTTTTTTCTTCTATTGAAAATAAACTTTTTTCATACAGTATATTCTGATTACAGTTTCTCCACTTTCAGCTCCTCCCCACCCCCACCCCCGCCCAATTCAAATCCACATCCTTTCTCCAGGCATCTAAGGAATAATAATAAAATAAAATAAAACAAAAAGGAACAAACTGGAATAGGAAAAAAACAAACAATCAGAAGAAAAAGAACCAAAGAAAAAACACGAGAAACACATATAGATGCAGAGATACACACGTTTGCATACATAGAAATCCCATAAAAACACAAAACCAGAAGTCATAATATACATGCAAAGGACCTATACAGTTAACAAAATTCCCTAACTATTGTTTTCTGAATATAGAAAATTCTGTAAAGTACAAAAAGGAAAAGGTTGAGAAGAGGAAAAGGAGAAAGAGGAGATGGAAATAATAAAATACTGTGGCAGGTCAGTCATGGGTAGCCCTGTGAACATTTTCATTGGTTCATTCATTTTTTCCTGTTTATTTTGTTCTACCCATGACCACATCATATGTGACTTTTGCAGTTTATGGAAATGAGTTTATGGAAGTGACTCTCAATTTTGATTGCACGTTAAACCCACCCAAAGTGTGTTTATCCCCTTTATTTTGGGTTTTTAAGAGAGGGTCTTACTCTATGCAGCCCAGGCTGAAAGTCAAACACACTATGTAGCTCAGGCTGGCCTCAACGTCAAGGTGAGCCTCTTATCTCAGCCTTTTGAGAGAAGGGCTTTAAAGACTTGAATACCTAGGGTATATCTCAGATTATTCTGCTCCAGCATATTTGAGGGTGGTGACTGGGAATCAGCATTTCTAAAAAGTAAAATTTGAGCTAAGTTTTAGCTTATAGAAAGAGGGCAAAACAACAGAGTTCCACATGTCCTTCGTCCAGCATCTTCCAGTGTTCACATCTGACATCCAGAATGAGACCCACATGCCTATTAACATTTAGCACACCAAAAAGTTGTACCATACCCAGCTCTAAAAACAATCTGTAAGGCTTGCCCAGTGATTCCAGTGTATGGCCAAGATTGAGAAACACTGTTTTAAGTTAGTGGTCCAAATGGAAGCTCCACAGAACAGAAAACCATTTTCTCTAAAACTGTAAGCCTCTCTTTACTGGAGTAAATGTGGCTTTGTTGGAAGATGTGTGTTACTAGAGGGCAGGCTTTGAGGTCTCAGATGCTCAAGCCATGCCCAATGTGGCAGCCTCTTCCTGCTGCCTATAGATCAAGATGTACAACTCTCAGCTCCTTTTCCAGCACCGTGTCTGCCTGCACACCACCATGCTTCCTGCCCACCATGATGATAATGCCAAACCTCTGAAAGGGTAAACTAGCCCTCCCATTAAATATTTTCCTTTATAAGAGTTGCCATGGTCATGGTGTCTCTTCACAGCAATAAAATCCTAAGACAGCTAGCATGGTGATTAAATGTTATATGTATATACCATTTTATTTCCATATGTAATTTAATTTATTTGTTTGTTTTTGCTATTTATTTATTTATTTGTTTGTTTGTTTGTGAAAAGCTCAGCAAATGTGTTACCTACCACTGCAGTTTTTCTAATTCTTCTGGTGAGGAAGGACAGGGAGTCCCGAGAGAACAGCAGCACTGCTCTAAAGGAGACAAAAATGAAAAGAACGTGCATGGTCAAGAATAAAGCAAAAGCAAGGTGGTGGCAGCACATGCTTTTAATCCCAGCACTCGGGAGGCAGAGGCAGGCAGATCTCTGTGAGTTCGAGGCCAGCCTGGGCTACAGAGTGAGTTCCAGGACAGGCGCAAAGCTACACAGAGAAACCCTGTCTCAAAAAGCTAAAAGAATAAAGCAAAATAGAAGCCAAGACTCATATAATATACAATTATTATACTGATAGGCTGTGTTTTAAAAGAGTAATTATCTAGAATCAGTCATAAAATTTATTGACTGTTTATATTAACAATTATATACACAATATTGCTAAAATATTTATTGAGTGACTTTTTCTGTTTGTTTATGTACTTGCAATATCAATCTGTCTTCAGAAACTCCAAAGAGGGATTAAGAAGTAAACATATCCTAGAGAAAATTAGCCTAAGTGAAATAGGCCAGGTATAGAAAGACAAATATCACATGGTTTCACTTACTTGTGGAATCTACAAAGGTCTAACTCATGGAAACACAGAATGAAATTGGGGGTTACCAGACGATTTAAAATGAGAAAATTGGAGAATTCTTGATTACAGGACACAAAATTCAGTTAGACGTCATGAGACATACTATGTGACATGGTGACTAATAGTTATTATATTGTATACATGAAAAATGCTAAGAGTACATTTTAAATGTTCTCATCACACAAAGAAAAACTTAAGTATGTGAGGTTATGCATATGCTAAATAGCCTGCCTTAGAAATTCTACAATGTACACCAGAACATCAGTGTACACAGAAATACACATAGCTTGCTTGTCAATTATAAATGAGTCAGCCAACGCCTAGCAACAATCCACTGAATGCTCTACCCAGAGCCCTCCATCTCAATAGAGGTTTTTAAGATCATGTTTTCAGATGGTATCATGATAGTTTATAAGAAAACAGGAAAAAAAAGAACCTTTTCAGACATCAAAATTCATATGAAAAAGATCACAGTCACAGACAGAGACATCTTACCCAGTGGCCAAATCTGTACAGTTTCGAAAGTAGCCATCATGGTGCACACATTTGCTGTCTCATTCAGTTTTATTGTGAATGTACAGTTTAGCGTGCTGTAAAGAGAAATACATGCAGCCAGCATGTTAGTATGTATGGATAGTTAGTACATATATTAGAAATCTGGTTATACTTTGTAATTGAGTTTCCAAACTCAAGAGTGAGAAAGGGGACACTTACAGTGTTTACTTTGCAATATTACCCCAGTAGCCTTACAAACACCCATCTTCAAGGTTGTGATGATTATTCTTGGTTGTCAACTTGACTACATCTAGAATTAACTAAAATTCAAATGGCTGTAAATGATCTTTTCTGAATTAGATCTTTAAGGTGGGAAGATCTACCTTTAATCTGGGCCCCACTTCTGCTGGCAGCCTATATAAAGGACAAGGGAGAAGGAAGCTGGCTCTCCCTTTGCCTGCTTGCTCTCACTCTCAATAGCAAGTCCATACCTTCACTGGCATCAGAGCCTGCTTCTTTGAGGTTTCAGAGTATACTGAAGACCAGCTGAGACATCCAGTCTTGAGGACCGAGCAACTACTGGATGCTTGGACCTTCTGTTGGTAGACATTGTTGGACTAGCTGGACCACAGCCTGCTAGTCGTGTGTGTGTGTGTGTGTGTGTGTGTGTGTGTGTGTGTGTGTGTGTGTGTGTGTGTGTTCTATAAGTTCTGTTTCTCTAGAGAACCCTGACTAATACATATGTTCTGTACTTCACTCTCAAAACTTTATTATAAGAAACATCAGGTTCACATTCACAGATGCTTCAGACAAGAGGCCTTCAGTCCATACCTGGCTCCAGGTTCGCTTTGCAGGTATGCAATTTGGCAGCAAAGACTAGCACCTTGACATTTTAAATTTTTGCTACCATCCAAAAAAAAAAAAAACTTGACTATTTGTCTGGTATCCTTAGGCATTTCAAATTTCAGCATAGAAACCTTTCTATAAACCAGCCTAAGCTAAATGTTAAGATCTCTTAAACCCCAAATCTCCTTGAAATTCAATCTAGATATCAGATGACTAGCCATTTAAGCTGTTCACCCTGTTTCTAATGATGTAGGTGGAAAGAAATTAATGCTTAAAATATTGGAGAGAGAGAAAGGAAATGAAGTAGATACCCATAGTATGAAGGGATCCGAAGTATAATTTTATGAAAGATTTGCCATAATTTGTATTAGTGAATAGTTGATGAGTGAAAATTGTCAATTTATAGGGCTTCAAATGCTCAGGGTTCTTGTAGTGAGTTTACCACTTTACAAGCCACTGACTATGCAGCGAGGGCCACCAAGGGACCCAACTTAAAAGAGTTACCTCAACAGCCCCCAATAATTGCTTCACTCCTGCATGTCCTTTTTTCCATCTCTTCTTTCACATTCACTGTGTTCCTATTCCCTTATCTCCTTTCCCAAGCTCCTTATTGTAGGACTTCTTTTCTACCTGGCATTTACCTTGCCTGACCTAATGTGAGCCACTTCAGAGTTAAGGACACTGATGGCCCAAGGAAATGAGAAGAAAGATGTTAACAAAGTGATTTGTATTCATAAAAAATATGAATATAAAATATCACTGATGTTTATTTATGTTAGAGGAAAGTCTTCGAGTTGAAAATTTAAGCTTCCTTGATGCTTTATTTCCATAAATAGAGAAAAGATAGATATAAAAAATTAAAAATGACTTACTTTTGGGTCTCTGCTGTAGCACACATGATAAAGTAAGTCTGAAATAAATAAACAAACATATATACAGTGCTCCACCAGTTACAAATGTCAGAAAAGACAATCCAGGACTAACCACAGAATTTCCAAACCACAAGAACTCCTAGAGATACTGTACATTCCTCTTGCATTCTCAACAAAGCTTCTTCAGGCCATACAAGCTCTGGCTGCCACAGAGTCAGAGAGCTCACTTGTACACAGGTAGCTCAATCTCCTGGAGGTTTTATTTGAAGAAACTTTCAGTCTTACATAACAGCAATCCTACCTCCTTACAGTGCCCACCCATAGCTCCTAGTTCTGAGTTTTGGAACAATGCAACAGATTCATTCACTCTTTTGGCATGATAGGTTTAGGAGAATCTGAATGTGTATACCCAAGAACACAGAATTCCATGCACTCCCTTGAATAGTAATAACGATAAGCAAGATATAGGGTATACTATAGTTACCTCACTTAAGGTCTGTAGAGTTTTGTTGAGCTCTGATCGCCTGTTAATAGAATGAGAGAAACTGACATGAAGGAGACCATTAGTGATGTGAAATTTGAAACAAGGTAGCTTTTTAAGCAATTAGATCCAGTGTGTGGCATGTACTGCTTACAGTATTCACTCTGAAGAGACATGGGGCATAATGAGAGATTGCTATGTTGGGGAAATCAATTATTTATAAGACAAGGAAAACTAACCAGATGGGAGATGGATCAGTCCTAGCTAAGAGCAAGATATAAATTATGGTTGAGCAATTGTGTTATTCATTAGGCTACTGCAAACCCCAAGGCAGCTTCTTCTGGCAGACAGCCAAAGAAAGAGCTGGCCTGGGGCAAAGATTTCTGAGAAGGGTAAGTCATTCATCCTGGGCTTCTGATTAATACCTCATCTGCCATCAATGGACACAGCCTTCTCTGACTCCAGCCCTGTCTCCCCCTCCTTCAACTCCCCTGTGGGAATTTCTCTCACTCCTTGTCTCCATTCCTGCTCCTGCAATATTTTCGTTTCTTTCTATAATGCCCAGTGTTCCTCCTCTGACTTGTGAATCACTGTTTCATGACAATATGAACAAATGGTATACATCATCTTTTTATATTGTGACATAATGTTTTTATCTACAAAGTTCATATTTTAAAACCATGCAGTCAAGTTACCAAAAATATCTAATAATGCTTTAAGTATGTTTACAATTTTGTGCTGGGTCTGTTTTTATATCTCTCCTCAGCTGCATGTGGCTTGCTGACCTTAGGCTGAACACCCTTGCATGAAGTCTGGACTTGAACTTGTCTAACAATAATGCTGGATAATGAATTGTATTAAAATTCAAATACCAATTCAGATGAAGCTGTTGTTTAATTTCAGAGCACCAGAGGGAACAATCTCAGGAGACTGTTAGTTGATGGCAGATAACTGTGGTTAGTTTGCAAAGTAGGCAAGGACCAATTTTCTCTGTATACTTTGGGTCTCTGTATCCTATTCTAGGTCTCCAAAAGCAAAAGGAGCCCAACTGTATCTTTCCACACAGTGTATATGAAGTTTTAAAGCAAACATCAGATTACTCACTTCAGCTCACTTAGAGACCGGACTCCAGGCAAGGTGCCATTAGCTATATCTTGATTCTGTTGGAGGTGAGAACTCATTAAGAAAACAACGAGCACCAAATTGAAACACATTCTCTGACAAGAAGTTTCATTTTTAGCCACCCGAGAGTGAATGCTAACTCCATAAACTACTGATGATCAAATCGAAGTTACATAGATAAGGGGAGTACCCAAGAGTGCATCGGTATTGGCTGAGCCGGTTTGGCTTTATTTATTTTTAAAGTGTCAGAGTCAGTTAAGTTCTGTCTTTATTCTGTCCAAGGGCTCCCCCACAACAGTGCTATTCAAGTTCTCCTCACAACAGGTTTCGGAGTCAAGGTACATCAGTATAGAAAGGGAAATTTGACAGTGATATTGCTGTATTTCTAGAACCCAGCCCATGGCCTGGCATAGGGTAAGCAGTTAGAAAATAGTCAATGAATGAATAAGCACATTTGGCCTAGATTCTCTGGCTCAGTTTAGGTTGCCAGAAAGTGTCTATCACTGTATTTGGCTCTTCCAAGTGGGGGGCACAACCAGATCTGGAAGATTCTTAACTCTCTCTCTCTCTCTCTCTCTCTCTCTCTATATATATATATATATATATATATATATATATATATATATATATATGTTGTTGGGAATTTCTAAAGTAATTTGATACTTCTAACTGGTAATATTACCATTCTTATTCAGCAAGCAAACCTTTAGTAAAAACTAAAATATAAGTATTAGAAAAATAACATGATTATTATTAATTCAAGCCCTTAGTACAAAGCTAGAAAGCCAAGGAGACAGATTTGTCTTAAATTTGTTCATAATTCAAACAAATCAAGTATCACAAATAATCTGAACCTTTGGAAAATCTTGAAACACATGGAAATGCACTTTGAAAGATTGCAGTTAAAGAAAATCTTGAAAGCCTACCTGGGTCACATTGTGGTCGTCATCATATTGAAACACTATCTCACCTCTAAAAAACACTAAAAACAAATTTTCAGAAAGAAATTTGAGATTCGTGTCCTTACAGTTTGAGAATTAATACAACACATTACAAGGTCATTAAAATATTTCATAAATGGTTTAATCGTAATCTTTGTTTTGAGTCCTGTTCCTCTACCGATGCTCTTCATTGCTTGTCAATAGAATTTTCAGAAGGTAGGAGCTGTAAAATTCATGTAGGAATTCAGTAAGAGAGAATGTTACCTGCTTGCCCAAGGTGTTTTCATTTCTACTGCTGAAACGTTTTCACTTTAGGATAAGTGGGGACTATGGTTCCAAGGTGACCTTCCAAAGAACATCTTTGACAGCTGGAGTTACAGTGACATAGATGACTGAGAGAAAATGTGTTCCTGAGCAGCTAAGCAGCCTTATGGAAGTCGGTTCTTTGTCAGTTTTTAAATTTGTGTTTTGAGAGTTTCATACACTAGTATTTCCTTTACATCATTTCCCTCCTCCGTCTCCTCCCTTCAACTCCCCCCAATCTCTACCTGGTCTTAAATTCATGGTCTCTTATTCCGTAATTATTATTGTTACACACACAACACACACACTGATTTAGAAATATAATCTGCTGAGTTAATTTAATGAATTTTTATACTGATACACAAATTTCAAATAATATAGCCCATAATTATTAAAACAAATATATTTCAAGTCTATATAAAATTATGCACTTAAAAATAAAGCTCTTGAAACCTTGTTTAGAGTTTCGACTCTGTGTGTGTGTGTGTGTGTGTGTGTGTGTGTGTGTGTGAGAGAGAGAGAGAGAAAGAGAGAGAGAGAGAGAGAGAGAGAGAGAGAGAGAGAGAGAGAGAGTGAGTTTGTCAACCCCATTCTTGTTGGGTGCATATGTTCACAGCGTAAGTGTCCTGTGAGCCTAGTAGTTCTGGTTGCACAGAACAACCAAAAAGCTACCACCTTTTGACCCTAGCCTAATTCTTCCTGGCCAGATAGCTCCCCGCTTATTCCTAGGTCTTTAATAGGCCTAGACTGGAAACCTGCAAGAAGCAGAGGTTTCGAGTTTTTGGCAGGATATCATGGGATTTCTGGTGCCAGAAGAGTTGGTCCTTTGATGAGGTTGTTTTTACCAGTCACTACGACAAATGGTCAATTCAGTCACTTAACTGGGGAAAACATTACTCCAACCAGATTTCTGGCGTCTGTTATTCAGGATAACTATGTTCGATTTTTAGTTATCAAATATGATTTAGACACAAAATGGAACTAGGCATAAGTCTCAGCCCAAAATATAGGTGATTCCTCCAAATAATGATGTTACAGGGATATAGTGAAGAGAAGGGTAAGAAAGGGGAGCAGGGAAAAAAAAAGAAGAAAAAGTTCTATAAATGCATAAGAATAAAATGTATCCAACATTTGTGTGTGTTTGTGGTGATAGGGATTTAACCCAGAGCCTTGTACATATTAGGCAAATATTCTACCACTGAGCCACACTGTTAGTCCATTTTAAGAAATCTAGACAAGCTAACAGTTTCCTCTTATAGTGTCCCTGGAACAGAAAGCTCACATGAGCACATCTCTCACACACACAGTAGGCAGTATTTGTAAAATACTAACTTTTTAGATTGTATTTAATTATGTATCTATGTATGTAAGTTTGTGAAATGAATGTAGTGTCCTTAGAGATGAGAAGAGGGTGTAGGATTTTCCTGGAACTGGAGGTACAAGTGGTTGTGAGCTGCCCATAGGTGCTAGGAACCAAACTTCAGTCCTCTGCAAGAGCAATATGCTCACCTACCCTCTGATACATCTCATCATCCATGAAGTATTTAAATAGGAGTATTTAAATTTAAATCTTGTTTTCTAATCTATTCAATCATATTTTTACTTGAAACATTATCTGTATTTTTCAGACAAAATATAACACTATAAATAGGAACAAAACAGAAAAGGTAAAAATTCCTCTAATGATTCTTACTGAAATTGATAGCAAGACTTTATATCATAAAATACACCATTGTCTTCCTTTTCTCTCTACCCATGATCTCCAATCCAGTTCTGATCTGCCACAGCATATTTTTCTGTTTTTCACATTTGCTTTCATTGGTTTAAATAAGGAAGAAAGCCCAGAGAGCCAAATCAATGGGAGAAAAGAGGTTGTTTCATGCCTCTGGCCCATGGCAGAAGGAAAAAGTATTCCTATTTCAAAAATAGCATGTTCTCAAGAGATTTCCACCTCAACTTTAAAAACACAGTGGACAGTCTTAGAGATGGCAAAACATTACAGACACTACTGGAATCAGCATTTAATTAAACATCCAAAGGCTCCACATTCTAAAAGTCTGGTTTGTTTTACTTTTAGCAAAGGACAATACCCTGTTTTTGAGGCATAATACTTACAGTCCTATGAAAAAGCTTGAGAGATTTACATATAAAAGTGACTTCCAACAATCAATAATAATTTTATTATTAAGTATATTCATGAATGAAATCTAAGATGACTAGAACTAGTATGGATTTAGAGCTAAAGTTAAAATGTTAGTCACAGAGTCCCAAGCTTCATATTAAGGAAGTTTATCAATCTTCTCTGACCAGAAAATGGAAAGATAATTTCAGCCAGGTCTAAAGTTTACTTTTGTTTTTATTAGGGACTTCCAGTAGCCTGGTTGTATTTTTCAAAAAAGAGGACAAATCAGAAAGGCACATGCAAACACAACAGGAGAAAAATAAACCATTTCTCTCTGTGGACCAGACTTATTTGGTTATGTGTGATGCTCACTAGAACTAACCTGAGTCATTGCAAATAGATGACAAATTGCAGATATTTCTCTGGGATTTGACTCCTGAAAAAAAAGAGAGAAAGAAACCTAGTTGGTTAAGCATGCTAATAACTGTGCTATATACTGCACTGTTAAGAAAATTTGCAAATGAAGCCATCAAATGTAGACCAAAAGTATTAAAAAGCTAAACAGAATTGGCTGGATAAAATTACAACAAGAATAATGGAATGCAGCTATGGGATGTGACTGTACTACTCTTTGGCACACCACTGTCTGACCTTCAGTCCTTCTCTGAAATTTCTTTGTCCCCTTTCTAATTAATCCTTCTCTTGTTCAATATAAGTAGAGAGCCATGGAAACAAATCATGTATAGAAAATTTATGTGGGCTAGTCTAGAATCATAGGCCTTCCTTCCCTTCCAAGGTAGGAAAATCCTAGAAGACTCTAATGTTGATCTTAGCTCATATAGAGTACTCAACAAATGCACACTAGAAATAATAGTAATGTTACAATTTCACTTCATGAACAAAAGTTACAAAATTCAAAGCATATTTGCTGAGTATTTTCTATATTTTCTTGAATAATATAGGGTCTTGAGAGGTCACACATACAGACCCTGCCCGCAAGAAGCTTACACTCTGGTGGGTGATACCAGTCAGGAAATAAAAGGGTCACGTGATAGCACTTTACAATCTAGTGGATGATACTAGCCAGGAAATAAAAAAAGTTGAGTGATGGGCAGGACATCAGGCCACACAAACACACAAAGGAGGAAGAGATGAATTAAGTGAGATTAAGTGAGCCATGTTAAAAAAAAAACTTTATGTAGGTCAACCTGACAAACACTTTGTCCTTTATGAAAGAAGGGCATCTTTTTGTTTTATTTGAAAAGATCTCAAAGTTCCATTCAATAATAGTATCTTTCTGTTGGCATATAAGAAATAAGAAAATGGGAGGGTGGGGAAGGCAAATGCTGTTGAGGTACTAAGTAAACCAGTGAAGGAACAAAGATAATTCAAAAGATTATTGTGCTAAGCAATATTTTGTCTCCTTGTTATGTCTTCTTTGGTCAGAATTATACATGCAATGTCCAAATGCAAGCTTATTTCCAGTGGGCAGTATGAGTTTGTTCCTGCGAGAAATTAGTTTGGATGCAAATGAAAATTGTAATTTTTACTTAGTGCCTGTGATATGGTTTCTGTCAGAATGATTTATTGGTGTTTGAGTGTCATGCTCCAGTTAAATTCAGATTCTGTGAACAGACTTGAATTTCACCCTGTGCAAAGTATTATAAAATGTATAGATGGTAGGTAGTAATGCTTTCAGGAATCTTGAAACCAACGTTCTCTTGCTTGCTAAGCTTGTCATTCTGATCCAGATTTTACCTGCATCTCCGTTTCTGCTCTCCACAATGAGAGTTTTCTTCCCAACTTCTACAACTGTTGTCTATAATTCCCACCCCTCCCCCAGTACATGACCAAAGATAATTCTTTAAATCCTGACTGAGAACAACTTTATCTGAGAAGGTCAGATAATAAATATTTTAGGTTTTGTGAGCTAGGTGGTTTCTGATGTAACTACCCAGTTCTGTGTAGCAGAAAAGCAGCCATAGAAAATAATTTAAACAAATAGACAGGGCAATGTTCCAATAAAATTCTATTTACAGAAACAGGCAGTAAGCCAGATTTTCATATTGAAATCAACGTAAAGCCTTTGTTAGACATTCCTTGTGTGCCTGGGCTTGCACTGAACACTGAAGAGTACATCACTTCTTCATTTAAAAAAAGGTTCAGTCCCTTAGTTCTTTTGTTGATTACATTCTGTGGATAATCTCATTACCACTAGCCCCTCTATTCCCTATGTATCTTAATTATGTTAGAAATATCTGTGGGTCTAGGGTGTAGCTTTGGGGGTAGAGTGCACACTTAGCATGTGAGGGCCTATGTTCAATCCTCAATACCTAAACAAACAAACACACATCATACTGGTAGAATCCTTGACTGTATCTGCATGCATGTTCATGCCAGTTTGGTTACCCTGTCTTACCCTTAGATGAAAAGATTCTTGAGGGTAGGCACTGGTGTCTGATCACTATTACACAGACCAAAACATCTAGTATAATTTTAGGTACCCAGTGAATACACATCCATTCATTAAGAACAGATTTTATTTTTAAAAAGTATGAAAAAAGACAAAGAAATCATAAATACCAGCCATTTCTTTAGTTTTACTTTAGTTATAAAAAGAAAGTCTTGATATTGATAATAAGTCATACCTGATGCATTGGAGGTTTTTACTATAGTGATTTTAGTTTTTTCTGCAAAGAAGCAATTTAAATATTAGAGCAGAATTGTTGCTGTTTTAAAAAAACAATTTGCCATGAGTATCATTTTTTTTTTTTTTAGTGAAGTGCTAAGAAAAGCACACTGTTGACATTTTGACGATCCCTTCAGTCATCTCAGCAGCAGAATGAATGGGACACTCATTCACAGAACATGCACCACTGGCCTAGGGTGGGTCTGAGAGTTGAAGTTGCATGTTTACCCAGTTAGATCATACCCATTACACATCCCACTGCTTGTGTAATTCTACTTCAGTTTCCAGGCACTACGACTAGAGCAATCAATGTGAATTTATAATGCAGGTAGGTAGAAGTAAGTTGGAAACAGCCTTCGGATGACAGGTTGTAAGAACAGGTAGTTCAGAATGAAAGTCAGTGTGAATCAGTCTATACTGAATCCAAAATATTGCTAGTTTAGTTTACCATCAAGAATCTTGATTGCTTCTTTAGGGGCAATACAATACTATCCTCTCTGTACTGGCAGATAAAACTGCTCTCAGAGAAGTCAAGACCATTCAACAAGTGTTGCATAACAAGCTCATAGTAGAACCAGGATTGCTCAAGTTAGGGGCCCACAGGCAAGTATTAAAGTGCTCTGAGGAGCCAAGCCTCAGGAATATCTTTCCAAAGGCGTTTGGAGACAAAGTCCACAGTCCATCCCCTAGATGATGGAGAATCAGGTTCAGAGAGACTTGTGTAAGGAGGATTGCCAACTATAAGAGGCTGTATTCAGGGCACAGATTGGCAAAGAAATTCTGTCTCCTAGAGGAGATAGGCAAATTGTGAAAGAAAGACTAAGTTCAGAGCTTGGAGACATCCTGAAGAATAATGATATTATAGGGACGGTTTCATAAACTTTGGTATGTTTGTTACTGATTGAGTTTACTTCAGTGTGTGAATCATAGACAATGGTTGGTGGGATTTACAGAGGTGGATACCACTTCGCACTGTCATTAATAATCCTTTGTACATTATTTTGTTTGCTTTGCTGTTTTTCTTTCCATAGTAAGTGAAGCACAATTGTGAAAATAATTGTATTTTTGTAGCTAAATGCAGAAAAATATTCAACTTCACTAATAATAAAGAATGAAGAATACTAAAGAATCAAGAAAAAATGTAATAATATATAATGTAGTCTCAGCAAAGGTACAGTGACATGGCAGTTCTCATTCACTGCTGGCAGAATGTTGTGGGGTACAATTTTTCTAAAAGGAAATTAGGCAGTAGTTCTCAGGGGCCTTAAAATATTCATACTGCTGACTCATTATGTCCAATCCATGGAATGTATCCTATAGAAATCAGGGATGAATGCAAAGATGTTGGCATCAGGATGTTCATTGCAACAACTTCTAGTAAAAAAATACAAACAACTTTAATGTTTAACATATGGCACACAATGGAATATCATCAAGTCATTAATAGCAAGAGACCATGGAAAATACTAACAATTTAATATTAAGTTAAAAGAGAAATATAAAATCTGTGTAAATTATGATTATTCTGCAAAAGGGTAATTATATATATAATTGCAAGTGAAATGTGTATATATATATGTATGTATATATATATATATAAGCAAAACTGAAAATGTACTAAATTACTAACAATAATAGTCTTAGTAAAGTAACACTAAAGATTTCCCCATATTCTGGATTTTATGAGCTAATATGCATGGCTATGATATACAAAAGAGAACAAATGTTATTTTAAGAAGAGTGATATGGCCATAACAGGAAGCTTAGGAGTATGGTGACAACAGAAGGATAGCTCAATGACAGAGTCAAAGAGCACTCATTCAAAGGTTGACCACCTAGGGAGATGAGCAAAGGAACAATAGAAACTTGTTCCTTTACTAATCCATCAGACCCCCAGGTACGAAGAACTCAAGAAGCCACAGAAGACAATCTATGGTACTAGGAAATGTGAAATTACCTGTTTTGTTTAAAGTCGACAACACTTCTGAAGCAGCATCTAAAATAAAATAATAACAAACGGCATAATTACTGGCATGGCTAACAAGTGTGACTCTTTCCAGATTCCTTAAACACTTCAATTTCCCTGAAATCTAGACAGTAGAGTTTTGCAAAATCTAACTGGTACTAGCCAATGCACTGTCCCCACACCCATTCTCTGCTCTTCAGCCCCAAGATGAAGTTGAGTACACATTTATTCTTTGAGAATGTATTTTCTGAATGTCTGCTGTGTGTGTGTAACACATAGCAACACTCCAATATTCATTAGACTTAACTTTACCCATTTATGCTATTTAATATTTTTGTCCCATGGCAGAAAAGGGGATGGAAAGATTGGAAGAGACAGAGGACAAGGAGGACAAGAGTGAAACAGAATCTTCTGGACATGACAGGACTCCTGCACTCATGAACTCACACAGCTGTGGTTACCTGGACAGGATCAGCCCAGTTAACATTCTAGCATGGAATGAGAAGGGCTTCATGAGATCCCCCTACCCCTAATTGAGGAGCTATGGACAGCTGATGCTTTTGGGGGAGAGAGAGTCAACTTTCTTTAAGGTTTGACCACCCTTCAGCGGATGGCTCCATGTTCAAGACTATATACGGGCAGCACAAAGTGGAGTTGATGTGTTAATTTTTTAAAAAAGAGGACACGAACTTGGGGTTGGATAGGGAGATGAGGGTGGACCTGGAAGGAGTTAGTGAGGAGAGTGGAGGGCGTTTGTGATCAAAATACATTGTGTGGGATTACCCCAAAATTAATAAAAATGTTTAAAAAAAAGAAAAAAATTGTCCTTTTTTCTCCATGTTAATGAGAAATCCCTCTTGGATATGAATTTTTATAACATGAATAACAACTTTAATAGCCCTGGGGATGCTTAGTAGCTTTCACCAGTGGCACATTCTTACAAAGGAAGTTAAATATAATGCTAGTTTAAGTTTGGAGTTCTTAAGCATTATCAACTTTTAGGAAAATTTCATTTTGATCCTATTTGATAAAAAAAATCCAATTAAAATGGATTCTACAGGTATTTCTTTAAGTGAAAAGAATTCTAGAATTTATTATTAGAGATGAAAGTTTAGGGAAAAAAATGGTATACGCACATGCCTGCAATCTTAACAACTGAGAGGCCAAGGCCAAAGAATTGTGAGTTTGAGTCCAGCCTGGGCGACATAGTGAGACCTCATCTCAAAAAACAAACAAGCAAATAACTAGGCAAACACAATGCACTGTCATGCTTAAATGCATCCATCTATACCCCACACAATAAGAAGCACTGCAGCCAAAGCTGGACTGAAGATAATCCTTCCACTGAGCAAAGTAATCACACCCAAATCTGACAACAGTCGGTTCTTCGAATGGGGCGAATTATGAATTTAATCAGCTTCAATCAGTAAAAGATACATTTATGATTATTTAGCTCCGTAATCACCAACCACAGGGTAGAATTTTATTTTAACCAAGAGATTCTGAGAAGTGTTGGGGTTTGCTTCCCTTCAGAGGGCAGAGAACAGAATGTCCTGTTCACCTACTTCCCTGGGATATAGTGAGGTTCTTTGTTCTCTTCTCTAACATGATGAGGAGCCAGTGTTTTGTTTTTTGTTTTGTTTTGTTGTTGTTGCCCATTTCATGCTATTTAAAAATCACCCATCAAGGGACTGTCTTTGAACACTGTGTCCTCCAAATTCATGCTGAATCATATTGAAGTCACTGGATGTACTTCCCACAGTTAAATAATCTGTCATGTCAAATTTGTTGGCATTGTGTTAGAGAGCAAATGGAATGGAGTACTTAAAGAGTGTAAACGTTTCTAGTATTTTCTAGAATAGTTACAGAGGTAGAGGGATTGTTTTTTTTTCTTCCATGATCACAGACATTTTATCAATTACCCAGAATAGTTACTCTTACATGTTGGCAGGTTTTAAGTTTTGGAGTGTTGGATTATATGGGATTACTTAGTGTATCCAGATATAATTTAGAGATAGAAGTCTTCATCACCACTTATTTATTATACTGCTATTCGTATGAAGGGTTATCAATTTTCACTTGCTTCAGAAACATTCTTACCATTGAGGCTTGTAGTTTCTACCTCTTTATTTTTCCCAAGGAGAAGAAGACAAAGGTATAATTAAAACAAAAACATAACAAATTGGACTACATCTAGGCTTAAAGATTTTCAAAATCTTGCCTGGTGTACCATTGGAGTAGGGGACAAGACTGACAAGAGATGATTCAGCTGCAGAGAGAAAAAAGTAAGTGAATATTTTGAAACAATTATATTTCTTTTGAGCCAAGGTCTCAATGTATAGCCTTGGCTTGAAACAATTATTTATGAAATTTTAAGAAGCCATAACTCTTGAGATACAATTATAAAAAGTAGAAAAAGTGCTATGAGACTCAAATCAGTCTGCTGAACCTTTAGACTATCACAGCAATAAATTAGGAACAAAATCGGAATAAAATAAATGATAGTTTCATTATTCTCCAGCCAAGAGAGTTCTAGAAAACATTTAAAATAACTGTCATGGTTATATTGTCATGTTGACTCCACACTATTATAATGATGCCTGCCAACTGCCAGGTCTTCCTTCCCATGGTACATTTAGAATGTGTGTGTGTGTGTGTGTGTGTGTGTGTGTGTGTGTGTGTGTGTGTAAAATATCATTCAATACTAGAGTACCTAGCCTATTTCTTGGCAAGCCATTTAAAAATATGGCTGCTATTAAGGCAATAAATCAAGTTATGAATTTCTTGTGGAATGACTCCACTCATGCTAGGAAGTCAAACTATTACACACATTTCAAATGTTTAAATATTTAAGAGATTCAGTGGTTTGCTCTCTACCTAAACATGCAGAGAATCACAAAACACTTTACAACTGAAATAAAGCTTACAGTAGAGAACTTGATTTTCAGCTGGTATGGACAAAATCTGGGTGTGTTGAAGCACTTGGCTGGCCTTTTTCAGACTGCTCGTGGGTTGGCTAAACACACACACACACACACCCTGTCTGTCCCATATTCTTGCTTTCATATTTTGTCATTTACTATATTTATTCTTTTAAACAATTGCCAAGATCTTTCTTGAGGAATAAGACTGGTTCGAGGCAATCCTAGTCAAAGGGTGCTTAGGAGGCAGAACAAAATAATTGGCCAGAGCCAGTTTTTAATGAATGACTATTAATTCTTTTGGATGTTGACAAATGGTGACACAATTCAAAGAAGAGGCCTGTGGGCATAGTTGTCTTCCTCCGTTGACACTACACTGGGTCTTGCCATCTGGTTTGTGCATCCCTACCCCCAGGGCACCCAGAGCCCAAGTTATGACTAGAACTCACAAAACACTACTCTCCATTTTATACAAACAGGGTTTTGCAGACTTTGCTATGATTGCATTTGCCAAGAGCTATTCTACTAGAGCAGTGGTTCCCAACCTTCCTAATGCTGTGACTCTTTAATACAGTTCCTCATGTTGTGCTGACCCCCACCCCAGCCATAAAATTATTTTCATTGCTACTCCATAACTGTAATTTTGCTACTGTTATGAATTGTAATGTAAATATCTGTGTTTTCCAGTGGTCTTAGGTGACCCCTGTGAAAGAATCATTCAGCCTCCTAAAGACTCTTGACCCATATGTTGAGAACTGAGTACTAGAAGGAAAATACACTAGCATGATGAACCTAGAAACTCAACAACTAGGGGCCAAGCTGACAAGGACAAGAGCTTGGGCTTTGGTGGCTTACAGTTCAGGGTTTGAATCTTTATCCATAACGTAATAACTCATGCTAACGACAGTCGTTTATTTATCGTATAGCAGGTACACGTAGTCTCTTATTTCATCTTTAACTATCTCATGAAGCAGATACTACTGTTCTCCTCAATTTACACAGGAAGTAACTGAGGCACAGAAAGGTTAAGGAACCTGCCTCAAATCTGAGCTAGTGATGGAGGTGGAAGGGTGGTAGCTTACTTAATTCAAACCCAAGAGACAGGTTGGCTCCAGAGAATGTGTTAATATGACCAAGTTTCTCCTGCTGAGCCTGTTTCCACATCTATAGCATGAACATAATGATTCCTATGCTGCAAGCCTGAGAGGAATGAGCTGTCTGAAGACTTCCAGGTACAATAGTACATGTATAAGAGATGGCTGCAATTATTAATTGATTTAGATGATTGAAAGAATAACAACAGAAATTCATTTTCACAGTCCTAAGGATGGACTATCAGCTGACTGACAACCCTTCTGAACACTTGGTATATCAGAAAGAAAACAGGTAGGGCACAAAGAAGCCATGCGCTACCTGTGTGATGTAGGGCAAGAAGCTGTGAGATCTTAGACAAGTTATCCAGCAGCCCTAGGCTCTGTTCTCTCACCATAAGATACTAGGATGCTAGTTCCAGCTGTCAGTCTCCCAGTAGAGTACTGTTCTCGGTTCCTGTAGGTTCTAGTTATATATTTCTCTTTATTTGCCTTCCCATTGTCATATGTGCTAAGTTCTTAGAAGCCTCTGGAAAGAGATTCTTTAAGTGAAGGTACTGAAGGAGTGTATTTAAAAGAACAGCTCACCCTGCAATTGCAACAAAACTTGGCATGTTCAAGTTCTTGATGCTGTTCAGATTTGTGAGCCAGAATACTGAACATAGCTGAAGCAGTTAAGCAGCTACCCGATGAAGTCCATAGTCCCTAGAGAGTTATTCCCCAGCTTTGCTAGGCAATATGGAAGGATCAATATGCCTGTCTGCTCTTGGTCTTGTTGGTGTATGTTTAATGACAATTAATTGAACCAAGCTTCTTAAAGGAAAACAGTTTCGCTGTATCTGACCATATGTCATACTGCACGGAGGACTTTCAGAGTAATGCTTTCCTGAGATGCCCCAAAGTCATAAAATAACTCTTACCAGATGGTGATAGCAAACTGGAATTACCAGCGTCTTCTGTCAAAGAAAAAAGTGATTTAGTATTAGTTTGGTTTGTTCACATATTTGTAGGCGACTAACATTTTTAATGGCAATGAATGTAAATTGAGCTGCAAATGACTACCAAAAGAGGGCAGCATGTTATTTTACTATTGTTTGCCACACCCTGTTTCAGTGTTTCAGTTCTCTACAAAGATAGCTTTTTAGTGAAGTACTCCTCCCAGTTTTTAACTCTTGTTTACGTGTGTGTGTGTGTGTGTGTGTGTGTGTGTGTGTTAGATGCACACATGTGCATGTAGGTGCCCATGCATGTTTATGCAGAAGCCAGAAGAGAATATTGGGTGTCCTCTTCTATCTCACTCCACTTTACCATTTATCTATCTATCTATCTATCTATCTATCTATCTATCTATCTATCTATCTATCTATCTATCTATCTATCGACAGGGTCCTTCACTGAGTCTGAAGCTCATTGTTTGGGCTAGGCTGATTAGCCAGTAAGCTCCTGGCATCTGCTTATCTCCACTCCCCAACACTGGACATACAGGCACATGCAACCATGCTGGATTTTTATGTGGGTTCTGAGGACTTGAACTCAGGTTCTTTTGTTTTCACAGCAAGCACTCTTGAACACTAAGCCATCTCCCCATGTCTTCAATTTTTAAACTATTTATAGCGCTCTATATTTGGTGCTGTATAATATATAAATGTATAATGTACACTTCAAACTAAGGAGATGGCTAAGACTTTAAGCTGTTGTTCAATGTTCATTGAATATATAGAAAAAGTGTACATCTGCATAAATTAAATTTTATTAACTATGCTTATTTTTTAACACAAACTTTTATTTTTGAAGTCAATGTATATTTATTTCCAGATGATACAGTTCTATACAGAAGAACCTAGAGTACACACATACACACACACACACACACACACACACACACACACACACACACACCTCCTAGAGCTGATAAATATTCAGAAAAGTAACCGTATCCTATGGTGACATTTTATTTGTGCTTTAATAAATAAAGTTTGCCTGGAGATCAGAGGAAATAGCAAGCCATTTTAAGTAAACAAAGAAGTCAGGCAGCAGTAGCACAGGCCCTTAATCCAGTCACTTGGCAGGCAGGATCTGTGTGTGTTCAAGGCCACACTGGAAACAGAGTCAGGTGTGGTGGCACACACCTTAAATTCTAAAACTAGTTAACCATAAAGATCCAGAGGTCTGTACAGACAGACAAGAAGTGACAGAGCTGGGCAAGAAGAGGAAGTGATATAGCTGGGCTAAGAGAGACAATGAGAGAACAAAACAGAAAAGGCATATAAATGTGAGTATACAGGAAGGAGGTCTCTTTTTAGTCTATTATACCATCTCTTTCTTCTGAGTTGGACTAAATCAGCCACCTTTGGGTGAATAAACTACAAGAACTGCTGAGTTATTTGTTTTGGGGAAATGCTCAGATCCCTTAAAAGAAAACAGTTCTATTTTTTTCTGTGCAGGAAAATAATACATGCTTGGGGCTGGTGAAATGGCTCGGTGGTTAATAGCACTTGCTATTCTACGGGACCTAAATTCAATTCTCAGCACCCACATAAAAATCCAGCATGGTCATATGTTGTGGAGGCTCACAAAGGTTTCCTAGTGAGATCTGAGCTTGCTTTACCCTGCAGGTCTGCATTAGAGGATTGTTTGACCATGTGTGTGGTTACCAGGTGATTGGAAGGGGTTTGCACTTGGCTGTGCTAAGGGGAGGTCTTTTGCTCCACGCCTTGTCATTCCTATAAATAGCCCTTTAGAAGAGACAGGAGGGGCCGGTGGATAAGAAACCAGGCCCTCCCGAGGCTATCCCGTGTTTCTGTTTCTCTCCTCTCTATCTTTCTATCTAATATCTCTTATCCCTCTCTCCTCAAGAGTACCCTGTCATAAAATCTGAGAGCCAGTCGTCCAGATGGGCTCCCATAATATGTACCTGTAACCCCAGTGTTGGAGGGGCATAGACAGATAGATCCTAGAAGCTCACTGGCCAACCAGCCTAGCCCAAACAGTGAGCTTCAGCCTAGCCCAGACAGTGAACCTATGGAGGCAAGAAAAGGGAGTCAGGTACCCTGAAACTAGAGTTGCAGATTGATTATGAGCAAGCATGTGAGTTCTAGGAATCAAACCCAGGTCCTCCGGAAGAGCAGCCAGTGCTTATAACTGCTGAGCCATTTATCTAGACCTAAAGCTAGACATATAAATTTGTTATCCTTTCCTTTTTATTTTGGCATAGTTTTCCCTTAGGACATTGGTTTACTTTTTCTATGTCTCAGAACTCTCAGTATGAGGTTCCACATCATCCTTCATGGTCCAATATAGCCATCTCCCCACATCTTACATGCCTTATGTTTTTCTGGGTACTAGCCTGGGTTTCTCTGAGGGTTTGCCCCCATTCACTTCTCACTGACAATAAAGATGGGGTTGTCACTTCCAATGAGTCATATTTGAACTCCATGCCACTCTTAGGAGACAAAATATTTCCATTGTTAAAAAGATTCATAAACAAAGAAAGAAAAAAATTAAGGTTTTTTTTTTCAGATTTTTCTTTGGAAACCTATAAAGCAAGTTTTAAACTATTACTAATTTATTGAAGTCTTGATTTAAACCCATAAACAAAATTATTGGAATCTGTGTATAAAATTTACTTAATATGAATCTCTGATGAATTTTTTTCTGATGAGTTTCTAAAAATAAAGTCCATATATTCACAAATTATGGTGAGAATAAATTTATAATGGAAGCCAAACAGAGCCTGAAAAATAGAAAACTCAAGAAAATAGATCTATGGATGGAGACTCCTTCTCTGTATCACCTCCTTAGCACTTACTTGTTTTCAATATTATTGTCACCACTGCCCAAAGTTTAGTGTCACATGTTCTAGCGTGGTGTCAGTACTGCCATATGAATGTCCCATTGTCATTGCCTCTCAAACTCAATGTATCCAAGAACTCAGCCTTCATCACCCCACAGAATTTTAATATTGTATCTATTCTTGAACTCAGTATTGCTGCTAACAATGGCTAAGTCATTCATGTTGAAAATGTAAGTGTATTGGTTTCTTCTCGCATTACTGCTCTAACAAATTACCATGAAGTTGGTGGCTTACATTACAAATTTGTTATCAGAACTCACCAGATGCAAATCAAGTGGATGACAAACTGCAGTCCTATCTGGAAGCTCTGGAGGTGAATCCACTTCCTGCTTATTTGGGTTATTGGCAAACTGGTTTTTTGTAGTTATAGGACTGAGGTCCTCATTTCCTTACTGGCTATAGACTGAGGGCCATCCTAAGTCTGAGTCATGTTTCTTGGCTCTTGGCTCATCTGTCTGTCTTTAAAACCAGCAATGACAGGATAGAGTAGGGAAGTTCTCATATGCTGTCATCCTGTCACTTTAACTCACATCATTTCACTGGGTTTATCCAGGCAATCTATGATAATCTCTGCATCTCATGGTCCTTAATGCTAATTACATCTGTGATGCCCTTTCCACAATGTAAATTTTAGCCTTGTCTTTTTTTTTTGTTTGTTTTTGTTTTTGTTTTTCGAGACAGGGTTTCTCTGTGTAGCTTTGCGCCTTTCCTGGAACTCACTTGGTAGCCCAGGCTGGCCTCGAACTCACAGAGATCCGCCTGGCTCTGCCTCCCAAGTGCTGGGATTAAAGGCGTGCGCCACCACTGCCCGGCCTAGCCTTGTCTTTTAAAACTGGAAGTTTTAGATGATGACACCTTTATGGCGATTCTCTGGCTCTCTAAAGTATTCTTTGGCTACAGAAGCTGATGGAGATGGCTGGCTCCTCTTTATATCTTAAAATATTTATTGGCTACATCATGTACTTGGCATTTGGACATGTTCTTGAACATTTCTACTGTGTCTTAGGCTGGATAAGTTATAAACAATGGAAGTTTATTTGATTCAGGAGCTGAAAAGATAGCTCAGGGATTCAGAGCATTTGTTGCTCTTGCAGAAGACCTGGGTTCTATTTCTAACACCCATATTATGGTTCACAAACTCTTATCATCTATGGGCAGCAAATACATGATGCACATACATACACACAAGCAAAACACTCACACATAAAATAAAATGGATAAATCTTTTTAAAAAGTTTATTTGATTCATATTTCTGGGGTCTGGGAAGTACAAAATTTGAGAGGCTACATCTAGTGGCGGTCCTCCTGCTGCATCACACAATGGAAAAAAGGCAAGTGGTCTCACAAGAGAAAAAGAGTGATAACTGCTGTGTGAATGACAATGATACATTCAAGAGGGTGGGGCCCTCACGACTTAAACACCTTTCAAATACCCCACCTCTCAATAACATCACAAAGGCAAGCAAATGTCAATATGAGTTCTGGGGAGTGTCATTTTAATCATAGCATACTGTATGTCTTGTTTTCTCAATTAGATGCTAAGCAGCTTGATGCTTTATCGATTTTCCTCCAGAAGTCCAGGCCAGTGTCACGGATCTTGTAACTATTCAAAAATATCTTTATTTTGACTGATATAATTATTAAGAAATCTCTATCACAGTACAGCTCTTGCCTACCATGTGCAAGGTCCCGGGTTTGATTCTTAGCACCAAAATATTTAACATGTATACACACATAACTGAAAAAGAACTTTCTATCAGCCAGGAATCAAGTTATGAACTTATCACAGGTAGATAAAAAGAAAATTAACTCAGAAACAGTGCAAAGGTAGAGGGCTGGAACAATCTTCTAGGACTGGAGGAAGAGACATGAAGCAGAAGCTGAGACCATGGAGGGATGAGGGGGTGGTGCCCAATGAGCAGGGAATCATGGAGGAGGCAAATCTACTATCAGAGATATGGGTAAGTCAATCAGAGAAGAAACACACACACACACACACACACACACACACACACACACACACACACACACACACACACTTGTTCTTTTCCTCTTGCACTCTAGTTACTTTTTCATTACCATGTAATGGCTAAACCTAGCTGG